TCTGTCTGTCAAATAAATAAATAAATAAAATCTTTAAAAAAAAAAAAAGGGAAGACCATACTATAAGCTTAGGTAGAAAGACTTGTTATCTTAAAAATTATATATATCTTCCAGTTCACTAGATAAATTTCACATAATTCTGGTAAAAATCATATCAGGTTTCTGTAACTGAAAATATCTTTCACGGAAAATTCAGTTGAATGGTGGCAAAACAGAAAAAAATAAAAATATTTAAAAGCAAAAGTAACTAAAGCAGTTTTGAACCACTATATCAGTAAGGCAGATCCATGAAACAGCAAGAAGCCAAAATTGATATCCAGACATATGGAAAGGTGGAGTATATAAAAAATAAGTCAAGAAACATAATTATTCACTAAATACCATTAGGACAACAGGCTAGCTATTTGGAAAATTAGGTTACACCTAATTTCAAGGTATTGAAAAATTAATTGCATTTAATTTTTATATAAATATAAATTTAAATATAAATAAACACAGAATCCAAAAAGGTTTTAGAAGAAAATATAAGTAAATAATAATCTTGAAAGGTAGGAACATATCAGAAAAGATAAACTGATTTAAGTTCAAAATTTAAATTTGGATGTCAAAATATAAAGGCCACAAAAAAATCAGATGCAAACTAACAAAAAAATGTGTAACAAGTTGACATTGAAGTGGATATATTCTAATATAGAATTTTTATAAATCAGTGTTCAAAATATGAATGCTTTAGTAGGAAAACTGGCAAAAAGCAAGATATCACGTCACCTACAAATTTGGGAAATATCTATAAAAATGATAATACCGGGGCGCCTGGGTGGCTCAGTGGGTTAAGCCGCTGCCTTCGGCTCAGGTCATGATCTCAGGGTCCTGGGATCGAGCCCCGCATCGGGCTCTCTGCTCAGCAGGGAGCCTGCTTCCTCCTCTCTCTCTACCTGCCTCTCTGCCTGCTTGTGATCTCTCTCTGTCAAATAAATAAATAAAATCTTTAAAAAAAAATGATAATACCTAGTGATATCAGAAATGCTGAAAAACAGTATTTCTCATTCATTTTTGGTGGGAGTATAAAAACTGGAAAAAATATTATACCAAAATGTTATCAATGCTTATTTTTAGATAATCAGATTATCAAGGATTTCTTTCTTTTAAAAAAATTTGCTCATCACATATACAATAAATATGGTACTGTCATGCTATTTCTAAAGAAAAAAATAGAACAAAATAAAATTCAATTTGTTTCTCAAATTTGTTTTTTCCTAAATTCAGCTTTTTAGTCATTGCCCTCCTCAAAACCATCCCTGTGGTTCCCAAACCACTGGAAAGATAGATAGGTAGATAGATAGATAGATTGATTGATATTTATTACATATATAATTGAAGTTGAAAACTTGTGTGTATATATATTTATATAAAATACCAATTATGTGTGTGAATACACACAACGGAAAGAAATTTCTTTATATGAACAGGATCATGAAATAGATCAGACTTAGGTAGTACACAAAACACTCAAGAATACTGACCTATTGGAAATACTATTCTAAATGAATTTCAAAACTCCCATAAAGCAACGGAACTTAGTTACATAACTATCATTCCAAGAAATGAGGCCCTGGAACTTCTTCCCTAGATTTCAGTTGATCCAGTAGTTTTGAGAATAACTGGGAATAATAATAACACCAAAAGCTGAAGCAACAAAAGTAAAGACAGATAAATCAGGCTTCACCAAAATTAGAAATTTCTGTGCATCAAAAGGCACATATGAAGAAGATTAAAAAAAAAACAGCCCAAAGACTGGGAGGAAAATAGGGGTACCTGGGTGGCTCAGTCAGTTGAGCACCCAGCTCTTGGTTTTTCCACTCAGGTCATGATTCATGATCTCAGGATCCTGAGGTAAAGCCCCCTGTGGGGGTCTGTGATGCACTGGGTGTGGAGCCTGCAATTTTGATTCTTTGATTTTGATCTTGATTCTTGGATTCTGCAATAAGATTCTTTCTGTTCCTCTCCATCTGCCCCACCCCCTGTTTGTGCACACTCTCTCTAAAATAAATAAATAAATCTTTAAAAAAAATGGGAAAAAATATTTGCAAATCACATATCTGATATTTAGAATATATAAAGAACTCTCGTAGGGCTGCCTGGCTGGCTAAGTCAGTTGACCACAACCTGGGGATTGTGAATGTAAGCCTCACGTTGGGTGTAGAGATTACTTAAAAATAAAATCTTAAAAATCAAACAAGCAAAAAAATGACTCATACAATACAAGAACAAAAGGACAAACAACTCATTTTTTAAAAGTGGCAAAGCACTCAAATAGACATTCTTCCAAAGAAGGTATGCAAATGGACAACAAGGACATGAAAAGCTGCTTAGATTCTTGGTCATTGGGGAAATGCAAATCAAAACCACAATGAGATACCATTTCACAACCACTGGGGCAGCTATAATCCATAAAAGCGGGGAAACACTGTGTTGTGGAGGATGAGCAGAAAGAAATTGGAACCCTTGTACATTGATGGTGGAAATGTAAAATGGAAGTAAAATTGAGAGAAACGGTTTGGCAGCTCCCCAAAAAGCTGAACACAGAAAACCGTGTGATCTAGAAGTTCCGTGCCTAGGTGTATACCTAAAAGAACTGAAAACATATATTTAAACCAACGCTTGTAGAAGAATGGTAACTGTGGTATTATTCATGAAAGCCAAAAAGTGGAAACAACCCAAATGTCCATAAACTGGTGAATGGATAAATGAAATGTGATATATACAAACAATGGAATCTTGTTCAGCGATGGAAAGGAATGAAGGACTGACACAAGCCACTGTGAGTGTTCACCTTGAGACCGTTACAAGGAGTGAAAGAAGCCAGACACAAAAGGCCACATGTTGTAGGATTGCCATGTATGCAAAATGTCCCGAACAGGCCAAATCCACGGAGACAGACGTGGATTTGTGGTCGCCATAGGCTGGGGTAAGAGGGTATTGAGGAGTAGCTGCTTAATGCATATGGGGTTTCTTTTTGGAGCCATGAAATGTTCTGGAATTAAATGGTTGCACAAGACTGTGAATGTCCTAGAAGTCACTGAATTGTAGATAATGGTTTAAAGGAGTTTAAAGGAGAATTTGATGTTATATGAATTTTATCTCAATGTTGAAAACAAACAAACAAACAAACAAACAAAAAAGAACAGCCGGGGACAGCATCACTTTCTTTAGAGCCTTTAGTGGAAATGAGAGGAGTCTTGGAGGTCAAGGCCCCGCCCGATGACAGCTCAGGTTAGGTGACTGTGCAGATGGCTCAGCTGGTGAACAAGAGCCAGGACTATGGGCTGGGTTTCCTGACTCCTACTTCAGAGTTCTTTCCGCTGGAGAGCTGCCTTGAAATCAGAGACCGGGCAAGCAGTCTATAACATGTCTCAGAAACACACCCCAAGCCACCACCTTGAAGACCAGATAATTCTCCTTCAAGGCACTATTTGCGTGCAGCTCTTGGCCTATGCTACCAGCCTTTGCCCCAGGCTGCAGCCAACCAAATTCAAGTGTCCAATCAGCCCATCTGCCAATGCTTTTATTGATGGCTCCCTCGTTATTTGCTTGTAGTTCGTGATTTACATCCAGTGGAAAAATCACATTGTTATCACATTGCTCTCATCTTAGAAAAGCATGTCATTCACACTGTCAGATTGGGTCTCTGTCCCAGTGATATCTGAAGACATTTCTTGGGTTAAAAAAAAAAAATGACGGACAGAATATCAGCAGGTTAGGGCACATTCATAAAGACAGATCAGCAGTCCTTTTTACAAATGGCTTCAAAGAGTACACCGCAAAACAGAAAACAAACAAAGGTAGGCGCTCAGAACTATTTTGTAATAGTTAATTCTTTGGAGATAAAATGACAAAAGAATAATTAATAAAGAAAGCAATTCAGTACATCATAATGATTAAAAGACTATTTAGTCACGTGGACCTGGGTTCAAATTCTACTTTTGGTTAGCAAGTTGCTTTGCAAGTTTCTTTTACCTTCAGATATTTCTTTTGCAAAATAAGGGTAACGGTAGCACCTACTCAATAGAATTACCTTAGGATTAATAAGATAGCACACATAAAGCATTTAGCACAGAGCCTACCCCATAGAACATACAAAGTTTGATGGGATACAGAATATTTTGCCTGCAAAACTAAATTGTACCTTTAAGCTCACTAACTATCTCTGGCAGTGGAATGGAGCCACAGAATGGTATAGTGCAAGAAGTATGGCCCTGATGGGCACCTGGGTGGCACAGTCGGTTGAGCATCCAACTCTCGATTTTAGCTTATGTCATGATCTCAGGGTTGTGGGATCAAGCCCCATGTCAGGCTCACACTCAGCATGGAGTCTGCTTGTCCTTCTCCCTTTGCCCCTCCTCCCCACACCCTCTCTCTCCTATCTCAAATAAATAAATAAAATCTTAAAAAAAAAAAGAAGTATGGCACTGAGTCAGGTTCAGATCCTAGGTCATACATTAACTACAGAGCAAGACCTTGGGAGTGGTCAGTAAATATCACTAAATCTCAGTGTCATTTATAAAAAGGGAAAATGCCTATATCAGAAGGTGTTGAGGCAAGTTTCAAAATAATATATTCTACACATTCTAAAATACAGGATCTAGAATATAAATGTACATTCTAGAATTATATAATGCTACCAAAATAACAAGATTTTACTGGTATAGGACTGCAGTGGGACTGGGGAGTCAGAGGCCTCCAAACTCACCCTGAAACCATCATGAGAATTCTGTGGGATGAAGCGTAATTTTTCTGGGCATCACTTTCTCCACTGCTAGAATGAGGTGATTAAATAATCGTTAGGCCTCTTTCAAGCTCTACCATCCAATGGCAGTGTACGTTCAACTCCATGGTCAATTCTGACTCTCCCAAGAAAGGAGAAAGGGGCACTGGCACCAAAGGACCCACAAGAAGAGCTGGCCTGTCACTCTCTCCGCTCAGACCTGGTTGGCAGCGACATGGCTCAACGCACCAAGAAGGTTGGAATCATAGGTAAATACAGAACCTCTTACGGTGCCTCCCTCAGGAAAATGGCAAAGAGGAGTGAAATAAGTCAGCAAGCCAAATACACTTGCTCCTTCTGTGGCAAAACCAAGACAAAAAGAGGAGCTGTGGGGATCTGGCTCTGTGGCTCCTGCATGGAAACCATTGCTGGTGGTCCCTGGACCAGCAACACTACATCTGCCTCACAGTAAACTCTGCCATCAGAGGACTGAAGAAGTTGAAAGACCATTAGAAGCTCCACCATTTGAAACATTGCTCGCCTATAATAAATGGGTTAATTTATGTAACAAAAAAGAAAAGAAAAAAGAAAAACTAGCCTATCTTTACCAAGGGTAGGAAAATGCCCAGCCCATTCCTGATTCCCACGGCCCATGAGTTTATGAACTATGGGGCATTCAACCAGATGTTGCCATTGGACCTTCAATAACAGCAATTTTCTTCTCCACCTTTGAGCCACATAATAGAGGCTGTTTAGCTGGTGAGAGTTTTCTTCCATTCAGGTCTCTGGCTGGAAGATTCTATTTCATTCCCAGTGTAACCCTTCTTACTTCCTCCCACAATTAACTGATTGCAAAACTATTAATTGTGCCACAAATTTTCAATCATCAATGACTTATTAAAATTTAACAAATTATATTATTCAACCTTTAAAAAAGAAAGAAATCTTGTCACATGCTAGAACATGGTTTAACCTTAAGGACGTTATGCTAAGTGATGTAAGCCAGTCACAGAAAGATAAATGCTGTACAATTCCACTTATAGGAGGTATCTAGAGTAGTCAAGTCCATAGAGACAGAAAGTAAAATGATTGATACCAGGACCTGGGGGGAGGGGATATGGGAGTTAGTGTTTAATGGGCACAGAGTTCAGTTTTGAAAAGGAAAGGTTCTGGAGTCTGATTACACAACAATAGGAGTGTACTTACACTACTGAATTATATATTTAAAAATGATCAATATAAACTGCATGTTATATGTTTTTCATCACAATGATTTTTTTAGTTATGGATTATCACCATTTCTTTCTCTTCCCTTTGTTCCCTGATGGGTCGGGCTTTTTGGAATCCTGAACATACAAATGTTCATATTTATGTCTCCTCTTTTGAAACAATGTGGCCGCTACAGTATCAAATGAATGCCCTTGTTCATGGCTTCCAGCCAAAGCTCTACCACGTATCTGGCTAACTAGATGTTCATTTTGTTGAACAGGCTAGCCTACTATCAAACACGTATCTCTAGGGGCAACCTACATATCAGTCATTCACATAACAGATAGAAGACTTCAATCACTGGGATGTCTTTCTAGCTAAGATAAACACAAGGAAGGGATTTTTGAATGAGAGGTGAGGGCAAAGGAGAAGAGTGATTTCAGAACTTGTTGCTTTGGAGGAAGAAAGACCTAGAAGGGCATCAGCATCAGGATAAGTAAGAGTGGCCTTGAATAGCAAGAAGGCAGCATGGCCACTGGGCACCAGTGGCTGTGAGTTATCAGCTTGGAGAGGGGATGAGGGGAGACACAATAGCAGGGAATATCAAAAAGCATTTTACAGATCTGGGAATTTTATCAAGTTCAGTGGAACTCCTATATAGTTTACTCGCTGGCACCCGCCCTGCAGAAATGGAGAATCACTCCCCAGCCACATAGGTTTGCTGTGGGAAGAAGAGCCTGTGAGCAACTTTGGAAGAGAGGCTCATGATCCAGCATCCCTGGTTAAACTGTGTCTGAGGGAGAATAAAGGGAATTCTTAAGAGGAAGGGAGGAGGCTGAGGGACCTCTGGGCACAAGAAAGGGGGAATTGGGCCAATAGTACAGCCTTTCTGCTCTCTTCCAAGAGGCTCAGAGTCCTTCACAGATGGGAACCAATCTAACCTCACTGCAGCTCAAAGAGGAACTTGCCAAGAACACAAAGGAAAAGAGCAAAGAGGTAGCTTTCCTCAGTCATTCACTACACTGGCTTTTCCCTTCACCAAAACCTAACATCCCAGCCAGAGCCACACCCATTTTTTTCTGATGATTACCTGCTAGCACCTGTAAATGCAAATGTAGACACCAGTGTCCCACAAGCCACATGGTGTATGGGTTGAGGAAGCCTGTTCCCTCCTTTCCCAAAGCCTTGCTAGAGAACAGCAGACCCCTCCACAACAGGTGGACAAAGCCACTTCTGACCAACCTATATACATTAACAATACCTATAAATACAGATTCGGGGGAGGAGATTGGTGCAAATCAGGGACCCCAGGGCCCACTCACTGTAGTTCTCCTCCTGTTTCTGTCCCAAGGCTTCAGAAAGGAATGCACTGAGAGATTGGCAGTCATGTTTCTCATTAGCAGAAAATTAAGTGATGGCTACTCAAGTCAATCAAAATGGTGGGCCCAACTGTGCCTTTGAAAATCACTATTGTTACACACACACACACCAAATACCTTTTCTCTCTTGTATAGACATGAAATATTCAACCACTGTAAGTACTGATCCCAGTAAGCGCTCTTAGTCATGAATGAAACCAATCCCCCCGCAATAGCCCTTATGTGATAAGGCAAGATTGAATGAAAATTCATGGAAGGCTGCAGAAAAACCAAGCAGAATCATCCTCTGTTGTTAATAATTGGGCAACTAAAGCAAATGTGAATTTGCAGAGGCTAAAAGTAGCTGGAGTTCTGGTTGTGTATTTCCTCTTCAAATCTCCCCCTCCATACACCTCAGGTTTACAATTTCAAATGCCTATTAAAATCAGGGAGTGTTCATACAAGAAGATGATGCTCAAACATCTAAGCTTCCAGATGGACAGGAAAAGAGATGTATTATTCAACCTAATGAAACTCTTCCTTTGAAACCTGAGTTTTAATTCACTGCCATTATTATAAGGGTGGCCATTCTCAAACTCTGCCCCCTGATCTGCCATTTTAAAAATAATCCCTTCCTTATCTCAAAGAATTTTTCTGTTCCCTTTAAGAAATTAGGATTACCAGCACAACTTGTTAAAGATGAGGATACTCACACAACCACGGTGCTATATGATCATGGTTTGGCCCTCATCCAATGTGTTCACATGGGAAAGTATTTCACACTCCCTCACGTTCCAATATTAGTTACATTTTTAAAAACTTTTGCTTCAATTGTCTGATCACTTGAATTCAGGTGAGTTTTCTGGATTAAGTTCTTTGGGCTGACTCATAGTGAAATACGGGTATCAGGTACCCCCTATATGGAATAAATCAGAGGACAGAGCTGGGAGAGGAGGAATCAACTAAGTAATTAATAGTCCCACCTTTTGAAAATGACAGTAAATGGTTTATCTTTCCTAGAATTTGTGCAATAAAAGTCGAAAGCTGCAAAACTATGCCGTGTCAGGAAACAGTAACGTGTTCCGGCCATTATAACCAACTCTTTAATTGTCCTCCATGCATTCACTGTAAGAACACAGCCTGAATACTGAATAAATGCTGGTGGAATCAGGGAATATGTATAGACCACTCCCAACTACTCTGAAAGCCCCTTTAGAAGAAATCACCTTGAACTTTTTATAGCTAACCTCCCTGCCCCACAAGGCAAGGCACACAATGGGTATTCGATAATCAATCATTGACTGATTTCTCCTCTTCACCAGTAGGCATGGTAGAGAAACAGCAAACAAGTGTTAAAACATTTCACAGTGTAATCTATCGGTGGAGAAATTAAGGATGTGGGGGGAAATGCACAAGTATGAAGGTCACCCTGATAAAGAAAAAAAATGTGTGAGAAGACCACGGCACTTAAAATGCACACTGCTCACCATAGCCAGAGATAACAGATATTTTCTAAATTCAAGGTTCGCAAATTGGTCTTCTTTGTTTCTCCATTAACACGGTACAGGGGTTTTAGTCCATCTTTGACCATCTATTCAAAATGAAAGGGATTTTCCCCTTTTCTTTTCTTTTCTTTTCTTTTCACCCTTTGAACATAATCCACTAAGTCTCCATTCCCAAAGCACCTCCCAAATAGCGGCGAGGGGGAGCACTCTGGGAAGCCCTTGCTAAGAGACTTAGCGGAACTTTGTTCTCCACATGGGCTATTTGGAGCGTCTCGGATTCCTTGGGTGACTCCACAGCCTCCCTCGTTTCACGCGGCGAACAGGAGTAGGGCGAGGAGATCCTCCCAGGCGGTCCGCGGAGGCGCTGACCATGGTCCTGGCCTCGGAGCTCCGGTCGCGAGCGCGGAGGGCGCCTGAGGGGGTATCGAGGGAGAGGGCGCAGGGCGCGGCGGGGAGCGGCTAAGCCCCCACCCCTCCCGAACCCCGCGGAGCCTTCGGGCCTGCACGCTAACCCTTCACTGCACGCTCCGAGATGCATCAAAAAAGGGTGGGGCACCCAGCCACAACTGCAATCGGAAGCCGCCCGGAAGGATTTAAGAAGAATGGAATCGGTTCAACCCTCCCCCACACCACCATAAGACCCCCAACAGGGCATCAGGATCGGTTCATCCTTTACTCCCACCCCCCACCTACCAGGCCCAGGGAGGAGCCGGCAGCCTTTGTGGGCGCACAGCCGCCCACCGCCGCGCCCGAGCCTCTCTGCACCACGTACGTAGAAGGGGCAAGTAGGGTGGGGTGCATGTACAGATTTGAGGATGCAATATTCAAGTGAGGCAGGACGATGGGCACGCTGGGATCCTCGGTTCTCCACCGAGCTGGAAGGGAGCCTAGGGAGGAGAGACCCCACGTCTGGTACTGCGTCTCGAACACCCCCTCCCCGCCCCCATACCAACCTGGTCGTAGATGTTCTGCAAGGCTTCCTTGCCCGAGGCCCGCCGGATCTCCACCTTCCGGCTCGATTCAACAGATGGCTCCCCGCCGGCGCCCCGGCTCTGCCGGGAGTACGGCGGCTGCGGGTCCGGGCCCAAGTGGGCGACGTCCCGCTGCTGAGCCACCACCTGCCCCGAGCCCCGGCCCACAGACAACGAGTCGAAGTCGATGGTCTTGTTCTCGGAGGACCCTTCCACCGGACAGAACATGCCACAGAATTTCTGCCGGGGCTTGGGGCTGCCTGAGCCCAGGTTTTTAAAAAAGGCAGGGACTTCTTCGTCCTCTGCCGGCTTCCCGGATTGCTTCCTCTCAGCCATGGCAGGAGCTCGGGGAGGGTCCTCTCCGTCCGTCCGTCTGCCGGTCCCTAAATCGGTCTCTCTGTGAACAAACCCCCTGGCTGCCGCGAGGCTGCCGCTCTCTGCCTACCGCAAGGTGTACAGAAAGGAAGGAGGGCTGGCGAGAGAGCGACCCACCCCTCCCGATCCCTCCCTCTGACCCCGCTTTCTCCCCTCCTTGCCCACGCCCCCCGCCGCCGCGCCAGCTCCCGCGAGCAGCAAAGTTGGGTCTGGGAGGGCCGCCGCTGCGGCAGCGGGAGCAGAGAGGCGGCCAGTTCCAGGCAGCAGCAGGAGGAGGGAGGCGCGGGCGGGGCGGGGGCGGGGCGCGGCGCAGGGGAGGGGAGCGGAGCGCAGGGGAGGGAGGGGAGGGCCGCGCTCCGGAAGTGAAGCGGCCAGACCACCCGCTAATGGATGCGGAGCGCAGGGCCTGCTGACCGCTTTCCGCGCCAGGGTAAGTATGGGGTAGGGTACGCAGGGGCGAAGACCCGAGGGCGCAGCCCCTGGCTTCTGCGCCCCTCTCCCCCACCCACCCGGGCCAGCAGTCTCTCCCCCTACCGCATTGCAGAGGTGGGCCAGGGGCAAGGGTCCACCAGAGTGAGGGCTTCCTCCCCTTTACCCAGGGTGTAAGCTGATGGATGGGGAAAAGGGGACGATCCGACTGACGCCTGGACACCCGGGGAAGGAGGAAGGGGCAGCACTGACGATGGGGAAGGGATGGCGCAGACTGTATGAAGAGGTGGGGGCCTTACGATGTACGGGATACGAAACCTGGTTACCCGTGGGCCTTGGTGGGCTATGCAGTGATTGAAACGAAGAGGTTCTCACTCACCGCACCCACAGTGGTGGGGGGCGCCTAGCCTGGAGGGGAGAAATGCAGAAGGGCGTAGCAAACGCGGCGGGCGGTGTGTGTGTGTGTGTGTGTGTGTGTGTGTGTGCGCGCGTAAAGACAGAGGTCTGCGCGCCGTGGGAGTGTAGCAAAAAGTGCAGTCTGCAAATTCTGGCACCGAATGGCAAGTTGTAGTAAGAGTGGGATGAGACCTGTTCTATTGCCCAAAGGCGTCAAGTACAGTAACTGCGCCACTGCATCAAGAAGGACCCAGGAGATTGTCTTGATTTTGTATCTTCCGCCCCTCCTTCCTTGCCAAAAAAGAGGGTAAGACGCAGATTGAAGCCCACTCCCCAAGTCCCCAGCCCTTGGCGCCCAGAGTGCCCCGCCTCGATCCCCCTCCCGCGTGGCGCACTGCGCCAGAGCCGCGGGGTTTCCCAGGTTGCCAGACGACAAGTGCCTGGGATGTAAAGTGCGTGCGTGCGAGTCCAGTGGTGGGGTAGGAGATGGGGTGCAGTCTGTGATGGTGCCTTGAATTGTGTGAGGCCACGCGGGGGAAAGGTGTGTGGACTTGGTGTGCACGTGCAGCTAAACCAGCCATAGCTACTGGGTTGGTGGGCAGATAAGGGGCATTTTGATTTGTTCCGGTAACGCGGTTTCTGAGAGTCCTTCATTGCTTTTTCCTGTCCCCACGTCTTTTCCATGTATCAATCCCTGCCTCTGGTCGATTACAGCCCCGCCCCTCTTTCCATAGTGGCAAAATCCTGCAGGAAAGATGCCCATCCTTTGGCTGCTGGAGAGGGAGATCTGGGCATGCTCAGTAACCAGGGTGGGTTTGGGTTCGGAGAAGCTGTATACCGCAAGACCGTTGCGCAGGGTAGTGCAACCAAGGATCCATTCCCATTGTCAGCCCTTGCCTCTGGAAGGGTAAGTTCAGATACCTCCCCACCCCACCCCCCATCGTGAGGGACAGTTTGGGGAATGGAGTTAAATTTGGAGGACGACCAGTGACAGTTTGAAGACTAGCCCAGCATTACAGGTGGGAAGGAGGACCCGGCTGAGAACAAGGAGACTGCGAGAGGGGAAGAATAATTGTGTGGAGGGGCCCGAGAGAACCAGAGGTAGGCGTTTGGACTCTGCCCCCGATGTGCTTCGGATTTGAATAAAGCGCTTCCACAGAAATTACATCATTTCCTACCCAGAGCAAGCCCATGAGAGGAGTGCTTTTATTATCACCCATTTCCAGAGCAGGAAGCAGATTTAGAGAGAGCGAGGCACTTTGGCCACGGTCACTATCTAGCTAAATGATCCAACAATTGCAGGTGAATATCTGACTCCTTTTCCAATGTATCCCATCTTTACATGAGAAAATACAAGATTTTTATTTTTTTTTTTTTCATGTCCAAATATTTCCATTGCAGGTAGAGATCACCTTTGGAAAAAGCTGCTGGCCAAAGGTAGCCTAACCTCAACATGGCCTTTATTATGTAGACCTTGGAGATGTTTCTTCCTGGGCAGTCGATACCTTTATACAGTTCCTATTTCCTCTAAATATTATGAGGAGAAGAAGGTTACCCCTCATATCTTAGAAGGGAAAGTATGGCACGGAGAAGCTCAGATTCTTGGGGCTGCTGGGTGGGGGTCAGATCCAATATTTTGCTTTCCTGGCCTTCTGGCACATGCCATGCCTTCAGCACCTTCCAGAAGGACTCAGAAAATGTGCCTGCAGCGGGAGAAGCTGCCACCATAGCTGTGGGCTGACATCTATGGCATACGGACCCCATTTGGACTGATGGGGATGTTTCAGGCCTACCGAAGGATATTCGTAGCCCCGTAACACACAGCACATGGCAGTAGGTGGGAGACGGTAGGAACTCTTCCCTTCCTATATCCCCTGGTCTCCACCACTCTCCACACATGTGCTTCCTGTTTTTCTTTTTCCTCCAATGACCTGTTCACACTTAAATGTTATGAAGCATTTTTAACATTCATAGCAAAAGAAACACCTAGTTGTGCATTTGCAAAGTCTGCCCACACATAACAAAAGAGAATTCATAATTCCAAGTTTAACATATTTGGTTCTGAGATTTTTTTTTTAATTGTTAAACCTAGGGACACCTGAGTGGCTCAGTTGCTTAAGCCTCTGCCTTTGGCTCAGGTTATGATTCCAGGTTTCTGAGATGGAGCCCCACATTGGGCTCCTTGCTCAGTAGGGGTTCTGCTTGTTCTCTCTTTCTCACTTGTTCTTTCTCTCTCTCAAATAAATTAATTAAATCTTTTAAAAAATGGTTAACCTATACTAAATCATTATGCCTGTAGTATAGTATGGTATGGTATATAAGTTAAATTATTATACCTATATTAAGTTGGTTTTAAATGTTTGAGTGATTAATTGGATTTTTTAGTCAAAGAAATGGGGCAACTCCATATTGTTTAGTAGACTTAATTATATTGTAAAGGATTGTCATTTTTAAAATAAGTTCATTAACAGTCATCACTGGATATCATCAAGCCATAAATATATATTATTGTTATTTATGTGTAACAGGGCAGCTTGGCTTGGCTGGAACTAAGAAGGACCCAGACACACCATTGTGTGGAGATGGGTGACACCTTCCTTTTCTAGAAGCTACTACATAAGCTTGTGACTCTTATGAACAACTGGAACACATACACAGGTATCTAGCCATATCTAATTTCATTCTTCACATGGGGGAAAATCTCGAGTCCTGTCTTCAACCATGGCTCAGACATTAATTGGCATGCCTGATGAGCAAATGATGGGGAAGCCTGATTGCAGGAGGGTCCCCCAAGACAAAAAAAAGAAAGTCACTCTAAGCAAAGAAGAGGTCTGACAGAATGGGGCAGATGCAAATCCAAAATGATACAGAACCCCTGGTCTACCCCCACTTGCATCCTGAACCAAAGCACAGTCAGTGCTCCCCAGGGAGGAGAGGGCTGTGTGGTAAAACTAACCATTGTTTCACTAGGAGTCCAAGCCACCTTGCTGGGACACTTCTCTTCGGGATCACTGGGTGCCCAAGTGAAGGCCTTTCCCAGTGGCTAGCGAGAGCAGCTCTTGCAGGTGGCTGGGGCCATTGGAGAAGGGTCAACACCACCACGTGGCTGCTAGCGTCTGGGAGAGAGCCACAGCAGCCCCTGGATAGCAGAGCCACAGGGAGTGGCGCTGGCATTACCGAGATACCCAGCCAGACATCTTGGCTCAGGTCTAGAGACAGAACTGGCAGTGCTGTGTTCTTACCACTACACAAGTAAGGGTTCTTGGTCCCCAAGACTTGGGGACTGCTGGGGGAGTGGCCTAGGACCCATTCACGGGGGAAGTAGAAGTTCAGGAGCTCACCCAGAATATTCTTAGTCCTACTGCAGTGCGTATCTGCACCACAAAGGAGTTGGTAGCCGTAGAGTTAGAGCAAGTGAATACCGGCACCATGGCACTGGCCCTTTTGGAGGACTGGTGCAGGATCATGAGCGTGGATGAACAGAAGTCACTGATGGTTATGGGGATACCAGTGGACTGTAATGAGGCTGAGATTCAGGAGGTCCTCCAGGAGACTTTGAAGTCTCTGGGCAGGTATAGACTGCTTGGCAAAATATTCAGGAAGCAAGAGAATGCCAATGCGGTCTTACTAGAGCTTATGGAAGATACTGACGTCTCGGTGATCCCCAATGAGGTTCAGGGAAAGGGGGGGATCTGGAAAGTAGTCTTCAAGACCCCTAACCAGGACACGGAATTTCTTGAACGACTGAACCTATTTCTGGAAAAAGAGGGGCAGACAGTCTCGGGGATGTTCCGAGCCCTCGGGCATGAGGGAGTGTCCCCAGCCACCGCGCCCTGCGTATCGCCAGAGTTATTGGCGCATTGGTTGGGACAGGCAATGGCACATGCCCCGCAGCCTCTGCTGCCCATGAGATACCGGAAACTGAGAGTGTTCTCAGGGAGTGCCGTGCCTGCTCCCGAGGAAGAGCCCTTTGAAATCTGGTTGGAACAAGCCACTGAGATCGTCAAAGAGTGGCCGGTAGCGGAGGCAGAAAAGAAAAGGTGGTTGATGGAAAGCCTGCGCGGCCCTGCCCTGGACCTCATGCACATAGTGCAGGCAGACAACGCGGCCATCAGCGTGGAAGAGTGTTTGGAGGCGTTTAAGCAAGTGTTCGGAAGCCTGGAGAGCCGCAGGACCTCCCAGGTGAAGTACCTGAAGACCTATCAGGAGGAGGGGGAGAAGGTCTCAGCCTACGTGTTGCGGCTAGAAACCCTGCTCCGGCGAGCGGTGGAGAAAAGAGCCATCCCCAGGAATATCGCAGACCAGGTACGCCTGGAGCAGGTGATGGCGGGAGCCAACCTCAGTGAGGTCCTTTGGTGCAGGCTGAGGGAGCTGAAGGATCAGGGCCCGCCTCCCAGCTTTCTTGAGCTAATGAAGGTAATCCGGGAGGAAGAGGAGGAAGAGGCCTCTTTTGAAAACGAGAATACTGAAGAGCCCAATGAAGGGGATGGCTATGGCCGCTGGGATCACGAGGCAGAGGACTAAAACTCAGCTCAGCACAGGATGCACGGCCAGCGCGCCTAGGGACATTCGCTTTATCCGGCTGACACCAGGCTGAGTCGCTCTTTTTGTCGTTGAATGTATGCAACTGAAATCGAGGCTTGGAGCCAGGTCTTAATGCTTGCCTCTCAGAAAAAAATTATCCGAGGGTTTCTTGGACCCTGCATGGATGATGAGAAGAAACACCAGATTCAATTCCAAATATGAGCTAGGAAGCCGAAGGACTCTGAGGCACTTGAGGTCTCCCAAACAGACCAAAGTTTACCCCTACCGTAGAAAAAAAGAAATGACGTGAGGAAGAAAATATCTTTTGTAATTTATTTAAAAATAGAAGCTCTTGGACTTGTCAGGTGATTTCCCTTCTCAAATCAACACCTTCTCTCTGAGTGCCTAGCAGTGTGAGGCGCTGGTCAAGGAGGTCAGGATCCTAAATATAAGAGAATGGGTGGTGCTCTCAGGGAGCTTACCACCTCCTTGAGGATGTGGCCTCGGTGGCGGCATGGGAGAAGCTAAATAACCATGTGTAAATAAGTCACCACACCAGTAGACGCACCATTGCCAAATGAATACAACCACCTCCCCTATGTTGTTTCTTTTCTTTACTTGGGATGCACTCCTCCACTTCTCCACTAGATGGCAGATGGACAGTTTCAGGCACTGTGTTAGGCCCCCAAGGCACAGATGACTCAGCCTAATCTCTGCTTGCATGAGATCTACAGTGTGCCAGACACCTTTGAGAAAGAGTGGACATTATGAGAAAACATGCTAGAGGGGGAGGATTGGATTTAGTGAGCTGACCGTTCTGGTAAGAGAAGATTTTTATTGGCAACAAAGGGGATGGAGGAGAGGAAAGGAGCTCATATTTATTGAGGGTCTGTTATGTCCCAGGTGTTTCACATGTATCTATTGTATTTATTGTACACAGCAATCCCAGTATGCTACCATTTGGCCTTTTTTGAAAGAGAAGACGAAGCTCAGATGAGTTAAGTGGTCCCTCAGTTTCGAAATAATAACAAGTGGTTATTAAGAGCTGAGATAGAAGTCTGGAACTTTCTGTCTCTTGGTAATCCTCTGGCCACTACCATTGTGATTTTCAGTTGTGCTCCATAGTTCTGCAGAGATTTTTCAGGAGTTCCATCTTTAAAATGTATTTTGAAGTCTTCACATCTCTACTGAAAAACAGGTAGATTCAAACTGTGTTGATATACAAATGTCTTCACACTGGCATTCACCCACAGTTCCCTGATGTTTCCAGAGGGACCTTGTGCAGACCTTGGAAGTAACATTCTGTTGTGATATCTGAGCGCATATCTGGACTTCTCTCAATTGTTCAAAGATTAAAGAAGTTATGGCACCTCACAGGTGTTTAAATCATATTCATGCATGCCCTGTGATGTAATGTGTGCTTGGAGAGCACAAATGAGCACCATTCAGTTAAATGCTAGTTGATAGATAGCATCGTGGTAGCTTTTTTAATACAAAAATCAGTTTCCTTATCAAGAAAATGGGAACATAAAAGAATAGGGTTGTTGTTAGGCTCCAATGATGTAATGCCTTTGAATCACTTAGAATTATGTCTGGAACATAGAAGGCCTTCAATAAGGCTTAAGACTCCTGATTTTCATGATATTTATTGTATGTTTAACGCATGCTGTCTTTATTGTTCTAACAGTGCTGCGGTAACAAGTACATATGTAATCTGTCAATCAAGTTGTGACCACATTGCATTGGGAACCATTTTAACTCCCCTGGTACATTTGAGTGCTTGTTGTCTGTTATCTTTGTGATAAGTATGTCAGAAGCTGTTGATTGTTGTTAGTGATTTGACTTGGAAACAATTAATTATATTTTCTGATGGTGGATAATTTTAATGGAAGAATATCCTGAGATTCTAAGAGAAGCATTTTTTTAAAAGGTATCATTTGTGATCACTTCTAAGTTACAATTTTTCAATACTGTTCAACCAAATACACCCTGATTTCAGGTTTTTTGTATTCATGAAAATGGCCTCATTGTTTTCAGTTATTGACAGTATACAAAGTAAAATGTTGTAAACATGAATTTATAAAATAAATATATGCTAACAAAATTCTGAAGTTTTTTGTTTCATGTATTGTGATTCTGTGTTAGCTGTTGCTTGAAGAAGGAGTTTCATTAAAAAAAAAAAAAAAAAAAATTGATAGGTAAAGTTAGAAAATCAAACCAAAGCCAAAAGATTTTGAATTCTTCTAGATAGGAAACCCCAAAAGCCAAGTGCTGGAATAAGGGTACTTGAGCTTTGTCTCCAGGGATGAAAGAGGGTGCAGTCCACCCATCATCGATTTCCCTTTTAAATTCCATAAAAACAACAGATGGAGGCCTGTTCCCTCAGAGACCTCAAACTCATTTTCTTGGTCAAGTTCTGTACAGATAAATTCTCCATATCTGTTCTGCCAAGAGTGAAATGACCTAGAGGTAAAACATTGCATCTTTTGGATGAAGCTGTTTTCTTTTTACCTTGCAGATGTGTAGGAGGAAAATTCCTCTTGCCATAGGCCGTCTCGAAATTTTTTTCTCTTCCACTTTTCTGCAGTGCAGTGAGGGAGGATTCATCCCTGGGCTTTACACAGTGCAGAGCAGCATATCACAAGATGAGTGTCCTGAGGGATGGCCAACACCGTCTCCCAATCACTTGAGCAAAAAACCCCATAAAAAAATTGGCTGCACTTTATACTTACTATGTCTCCAGTCCTGACCCTTGGACATTGAGACCTCCAAGATTACTTAGCACACTGCTGAAGACAACTTTTCACCATGGCCATCAGCTTTCTCAGGCCTTAGGGTCATCTGACATCTCCACTGCACCAACCAGTACTGCCAAGCCTCACATCCTATTGTCATCCACCGTCCACCCCAAATCAAGATTCTGATCATCAGTCTCATCCTTGCTCTCCTGTCCACGCTGCACTGTGTTTCCTTGCAGTGCTGATCTTCAAGGTCATCCAAATGCCTTCCTGATACTCATGATGTCCTAGACAAACTAGCCTATATCATCAGAGTCCTTGCAAAATTCCCTGGCACCATATTCCTTCATTGAACTCTGGTCCTCCTGGTAGCCTGCTGCCCTCATGTCTCTTGAGTGGAAGCTGCTCAGTCTCCCACCTCAGGAAAGATTGGAGGTGCTGGTGGGGCTTCTTTCAGTTCACCATCCTTACCTTCCCACTTGCAAATGCATTTCCTGGCATAACTGACTCCCTCTGCCCCACCACTCGCTGTAGGTCAGCCCTGGCAAGCCTAGACCGAGGATTGGCAAAGCAACCTGATGTGGGAAGAGCCTATTTAGGAGGGCACCTGGCCAGATGTTATCTCTAGCAAGAAAAAGTAGGAAGAGGAAGAAAATGAATGTAAGCCTTATCCAAGGGAGTCCTCCAAGTCAAGACTGGGAAAGCAAAGATGGTTGGAAGCTAGAGTTTCAAGGAGTGGAGCCTGAAATGAAACATAGAAGTGAAGTAAGAGGATCTGAGACAGTCTTGTCAAGTACACTCAGAGTTCATTTTTTGTTGACCATCAGCATAACCTTTGAATGGCCTAAAGACTCATGATCAGAGCAGACATCTCTCCGAACTCCTTTCTTTCAGGGTGGGCCAGGAGCTCCTCTAGTTAACTCAGGGAAGACTTCTACTCATTTGAAAGTCTCCTGGGCCTGGGGTGCAAGATGGTGTCCAGAGATGGGCTTCCTAGAAACTAGCCTCCCCACAGTAGCAGGCTCTGGATTTGTCCCTGGTCCTGTCCTGCATTACACAGCCTTCTGCTGTACCTGAGTGGCCCTTGTTATCCCAGATGAACATATTCTTAAAAACTAGAGTAACTCTGGAAGTGAATGCCAAAATCAATTCGATCATAAGGAAAAAAGGTGTAGGATTTCAGTCTGTCTTTCAGGACACCAGCTGGAGCTGCCCATTAATTGTGTGGGGTGCTTAAAGCAACAGCTGAGGCTTTTTCCCAATCTACCCCAACCCCACCCACCCTTGCAGGGAAAGGTTAAGCAAAGGGAGGTGATACCCAGACTGTGGGTGGTGCTGAGGCTAGGAGCTGAGGCAGAAAGTTCCCAGAGAGGGCAGGGAAGGCTCACCTCCAACCCATCCTGTCCCAGACCTGCCCCTGCTCGGCACAGCCTAAAGGCAGTTCTGCTGAAGGTCCTCCATGTCTTCTTGGTACAACAGCTTTCCCAATTAATTCGGCTCCTAACACAGCTTTCTTGAAATAACAGGCAATTGTCACAAAAGTAAACTTTCTTTTTTTCCAGCTTTATTTAAGGTATAATTGACAAGTAAAAACTGTGTGTATTTAAGGAGTACAATGTGATGTTTTGATGTCCTTATGAATTGTGAAATGATCCCCACAATCAAACTAATTAACACGTTCATCACCTCACATGGTTACCGCGTGTACATGCACGCATGCGTGTGGTGAGAACACTGAAAATCTACTCTCTGCAAATTTTAGGTACACAGCATGGTATTATTAATTGTAGTTACCGTGTTATACATTAGATCTCCAGAACTTATGCATCCTGTATAAGCGAAAGTTTATACCCTTTGACCAGCATTTTCCCGTTTCTCTCACCTTCCAGGCCCTAGTAACGGCCATTCTACTCTCTGCCTCTATGAGTTCTACTTTTTTTGATTCCTCGTGTAAATGAGATAATGCACTATCTGTCTTTCTATGTCTGGCTTATTTCACTTAGTATAATGTCCTCCTGGCTCACACATGGCAGGATTTCCTTCTACAAAAGTAAACTTTATATTGTAGGTGAACATAAGAAAGACAGCAGAAACCAGGTTGAGGAGTAAGGACCTAAGGGACATGGAGCTCTGTTAATTAACAATCACATTGCATTCCCCAGTAAAATCCCATACAAGGGATGGCAAGCCTCTAATGACATTTGTTGAACTTAGGAACCCCCTCTATTCCAAATAGTAGCTAGTGGACATTTTAAAGCCTAAGACATGAGCCTAAGACAACTGTAAAAGTCTGGGGCTAGATGTGCTGCCATCTTGGGAAAAATATCTAACAACCCAGAATTGCCAATTACTGTTTCAAATTGCAAGGTGATTCATGGGTCTAAAACTAAGGTAGTGATCCTTTGTGATTGATAATATAGGTACATTTTGGTCCTCCAGACACAGTTTCTTGCTTACAGCTCCCCAAACCCTTGGAATTTCCTAAGTGATAAGAACAATGGGAGCATCATTTGTTCTATTTGGTCTCAGAGTCCTCTGTTCCTTAAGTGACTTCAGAGCCACAGAGGTGAAATGGGTGTCTTACTATTCACGACAAGCTTCTTTAAACCACTGGGTTTAAGTTAATGATGCGATTTTGAACCGACCATGGATAGAGGGTTGGTCCCGCCCTCTGATTTCCAGTCAGGGGAGAGGGTACAGAAGGTTGAATCAATCACCAATGGCCAAGGATTAATCAATTGCGCCTAAGTGATAAAGCCTCGGCAAAAAAAAGAAATGGAGGGGGGTGGGGTTAAAAGACTTTCCAGGTTGATGAACTGGAATGCACCCTTATGCCAAAAACTTCAGATACAGAGTGAATTCCTTGGCTACAAATATCCAATCACAGTGTGAAGCAGAATCACAAAAGGACTCTTTGAAAGTGAAATGTGACCCTGGCCACATATATGATTACATGGCCCCTTGTCTTAGAAAACTTGAAAGAAAAAAACCTGCCTCTGGCTTGATATAATTTTCTAGGGTGTTTAGGCCAGGTATCCTCCTGTGTATTTTGTGTTAATTACCCAAGCCAACCTGAATACCTAAAGTTGACTGTGCAGAAATCCTATTTCTTTTCCCTGTATTGGACAAGCCCAGACAAGATTATCGTAAGTTCACCCCAAACAACCACTATCATCATAAAAGATTAATTATGCTAAAACAAGTAATTATCATAAAGCCTGTGAAAAGACAGCTCGTTATTTTTTAAATATTAATATTGTCATATATGTGAGTACTTTATAGCATAATACTACCCTCACATATATTTTGGTTCTCCCCAATAACCTGTGACATAGATGTTTTCTGAGACATTTAACATAATTTCCAAGGTTGTATAACTATGAAGTAACTGAAGCAGATGAGAAACTAGATATTCTAATTTCATATCCCATGGCCTGTCCAGTAGGTATTTGGTAATCTCAAGATCTATACAGCCTATAAAATGTTATATGCTTAAGCCTTCTACAGGCACCTCAAACCTAAATTTTGCTTCAGTTTGCTAGAATGTACCAATGAAGCCAACAGGACCTGGAGATTGATTTAGGGAAATGTCTTAATTATTTTATTATTTTTAAGTAGGCTCCATGCCCAACTTGGGACTCAAATTCAAAACCCTGAGATTAAGAGTCACGTGCTATACCAATTGAACCAGACAAGAGTCCCTAGGGAAAGGTTTTATTACAAATTCAAGCCATTCCAATTTTCTATTTTTTATTGAGTCAGTTCTGGCAATTTCAAGAAATTCATGCATTTCATCTAAGTCATCAAATTTATTGTCAAAAAATGTTATTGTCACAATAAATGTATTGCTCATAATATACCCTTTGTATCCTTTCCAAGACTGTAGGAGCCTTAGTATTCCCTCCTCCCCCTCCCCACTTTCATTCCTGATATTAATATTTTGCATCTACTCTTTTTCCCTTGATCACCCTAACTAGAGGTTTGTCAGTGTTATTGACTATTTTAACAACACAACTTTTGGTTTTACTGATTGCTCTATTTGTTCATTTTCTATGTCATAGATTTCTGCTTTTACCTTAATTATTTTCTACCTCCTTACTTTGTGCTTAATATCTTTTTTCTAGCTTCTTAAGGTAGAATATAAGTATCGAAAGCTACAAATTTCCCTTTATAAACTGTTTTGCCTGCATTTCACAACTTTTTATACACCTTTATTAGTAGTCATTTCAAAATATTTCCTACTTTCTCTTGTGATTTTTTCTTTGATTTATGAACTACTTAATAATATGTTGTCCAGTTTCCAATATTTGGGGTTTTTCAATCATCTTCCCATTACTGATTTCTCATCAAATTCTCTTGTG